AAATCCAAAATAATTAAAGTATCAATATTTATGCTTAAGTATACATGATGCACATGTTTAAGGGTATCATATTCATAGGTATTATAGGCAATACAGAGCCAATATTCTTTTTAACACTCATTAAAGACTTTTGGTCCATTCTTTAACTATTGTTGGGGGATGCTTGCATATCTATACCAGTAGCTATGGAAAACACACACACACACACACACACACACGCACTATTATTACAGGTATAATTATTTAAAATATTTTCACACACACACACACACACACACACACTATTATTCCAGGTATAATTATTTAAAATATTTTGTAGTAAACAACGTCCTTTGTTAGTGTTAATTCCTTTTTAAATAATAACTTAGGACTGTCAATATGAATACATGTATAGGTCATAGGAGTATCTCCATATTGATCGTCTAAAGATTTTAGGGAATAATATGTTTTATGCAGAGATACTTTTTATAGGAGCTTTATAATAATAAAATTTAAAAAAATTTTAATAACACATTACATAAAAAAAAATATTATGTGCAAAACTATGCTAACTTTATGATTTGTCATGTCAGATGGTGTTGAGTTACACATTTCACTTTAAATCTTACTCACACTCTCAAGCTTTACTTAAACAAGTTAGACATATAATAACCTCACCAAATATGAGTTATAAAATTATTTTTATTTGTTATGTGCCATTATTTTTTAGTCTCAAATTATTTTATAATATATATTTTTCATGTCTTAATGGTTATATGGATGTTTTATAGCAAGGATATGATATTAGCAACTTCATGAATTTATTGAGAGGAAGATGATTTATTGCTAGTAAAGGTCCCACTACACTGCTTTGATATCAATGAGATAATTTGCCTTGATAAGGTAATATGATATTTTGGATTGTCTTAACACATTCTAGATTATATTGATTCTAGTGACAAGTTGTTGGTTAATTTTGCAAGTGCACAAATCGTAACAAGTAATAAAGTGATAAGTAGAGTATCGTCCCATGAGGATTTATAAAAATTACTACTGATTACCAGAATATTTTAAATTATAATCTATTTAAGGAATCAAATGAGATAGTTTAATAAACAAAAACTAATGATTAAAATCAAACAACCAATTGATTAAATATTAATGAATACAATTATACTGGTTCTAGGATTCCTGGCTTACCGTAACTATTCATATATTAACTTTCTCAATTGAATTAATTACTCCTCATGTTGATAATCAGGTTTTTCTAATTTAAACATTAATCTCTCTCAAGTATCAATACATTATTTCAACAAGCAAATTTCATATACTCTATAAAAGTTTTGAAGTTGTTGAAATTTATTAAGTATCGTAAAACCTATAACGATTACATAAGCATAAGTTCCTAAGATATCTCTATCTAATAGATTTCTTAAGGTATTTCAAACAATAACTAAAACAATTATCACTTCTCAGTTTCAATTTAAATTCTAAATCATGTAGACGTTGGTCAAACATACACAAACATTACATATAAAATGAAATACTTAACAACTTAATGTAATAATTCAATCGAAAGAATTGTTTACATATTTATAGTAAGGTTACATAAAAAGTACCATAGTAAAAGTCTAATCCATAGTTAAATTAAAGAGAAACAAACTTGATACGATGAACATCACTTAAAAGCAGAGAATTGCAATGGAATAGATAGGTGTCCTCCAAATCTTTTATATTTCTACCTCTGTTTTTCGTGCCTCTTTTATGCCGCCTCTTCTCCTCTCTTTAGCTTATTTTAGGACAATACATTATTTCAACAAGCAAATTTCATATACTCTATAAAAGTTTTGAAGTTGTTGAAATTTATTAAGTATCGTAAAACCTATAACGATTACATAAGCATAAGTTCCTAAGATATCTCTATCTAATAGATTTCTTAAGGTATTTCAAACAATAACTAAAACAATTATCACTTCTCAGTTTCAATTTAAATTCTAAATCATGTAGACGTTGGTCAAACATACACAAACATTACATATAAAATGAAATACTTAACAACTTAATGTAATAATTCAATCGAAAGAATTGTTTACATATTTATAGTAAGGTTACATAAAAAAATACCATAATAAAAGTCTAATCCATAGTTAAATTAAAGAGAAACAAACTTGATACAATGAACATCAGTTAAAAGCAGAGAATTGCAATGGAATAAATAGGTGTCCTCCAAATCTTTTATATTTCTGCCTCTGTTTTTCGTGTCTCTTTTATGCCACCTCTTCTCCTCTCTTTAGTCTATTTTAGGGTTTCTATATATATCCTCCCTTCTTGCAGACCTCTCTTTTTTTCTTTTATATTGTGGCCTTTTTGCCCCCGTTGGAATGAAGACAGTTTCCTTTTATGATTTGAATTCCTTCCTATCCAGATATTGCGAGCCAGATTTTGAGGTAGGAGATGTGTAAATTCAAAGATCTCTATTTCTGGAGAAATTGTAAAAAATCAAATCTTCTTTCCAATAACACTGATCTTGTAATTTTTGGATCTCTGAGACTTGATATAAAGGCCACAGACCAAGACAATATTTGAAGTGCAGGAAATTCGGGTCTGATTTAATCCTTGTTTTTCGACTCTTTTTTTGGGTTTCAAAATAGCAAAACTGAGTTATGTGCACTTCATATGTTTTGTAGACTTTCATCTCAGATACTTAAAAATGGTGATGAACATCTGGAATTAAGTTGTATTTCTTCCTTTGCAACACATAATAAATTAATGTTCAATTTTACTATTGGATTCTGCCTACTCAGTAACCTAATATCTGAAAATACATTAATTTTCCACGAGATCAATAATTTAAAAATAAATCCATAATTCTAATTATTTAGTGCAACACATCCAAAATATTTCAAAATTAAGCATGAATAATGGAAGATATATATACTAAAAATTCTCTTATTACTAGTTACGTAGTATTAGTCGTTAAGGTAAGTGATGATGGAATTTGTTGATAATTCATGCAATTTATTTAGATATTAAACATACCATAAGAGATTAGATATTTATTTCTATAATGTAACAATTTATTATACTTATATGATCATGTTTTTCCAAACATTCATGTAATCTGATGCATCACAAACCCATTATCCAGGACATATTTGATGGATATGCAATAACTTTTTATGTAACATTATTTAAATATTTTTTTATAATATTATAAATGATGAGTGCTATTTTTTTAGAAATATATTATATACATTATTTAATGCTCAAAGAGAGTATCTGAAAATACATTAATTTTCCACGAGGTCAATAATTTAAAAATAAATCCATAATTCTAATTATTTAGTGCAACACATCCAAAATATTTCAAAATTAAGCATGAATAATGGAAGATATATATACTAAAAATTCTCTTATTACTAGTTACGTAGTATTAGTCGTTAAGGTAAGTGATGATGGAATTTGTTGATAATTCATGCAATTTATTTAGATATTAAACATACCATAAGAGATTAGATATTTATTTCTATAATGTAACAATTTATTATACTTATATGATCATGTTTTTCCAAACATTCATGTAATCTGATGCATCACAAACCCATTATCCAGGACATATTTGATGGATATGCAATAACTTTTTATGTAACATTATTTAAATATTTTTTTTATAATATTATAAATGATGAGTGCTATTTTTTTAGAAATATATTATATACATTATTTAATGCTCAAAGAGAGCAACAACTATATTTTGTGCAGGAGTCGATAAGATGGGATATGCCCTGATCAATAATATGCTCAATTTGTCTCATGGTGGACTTGAAAAGGCTAGAGAGGTTATGTGTCTCAAAGTAGTGTTACCAGATGATGAAATTACTTTTTGTGAACAATGAGATATAATTTGGGTGATTTTAGTATTGTTTCCTTCACGAGCACTATTAACTTTTTCAAGAATTGGAAAAGTTGAGGTTGTATAGGCTGGTTTATAAACGGATGCAAAATATTTCAAAATTAAGCATGAATAATGGAAGATATATATACTAAAAATTCTCTTATTACTAGTTACGTAGTATTAGTCGTTAAGGTAAGTGATGATGGAATTTGTTGATAATTCATGCAATTTATTTAGATATTAAACATACCATAAGAGATTAGATATTTATTTCTATAATGTAACAATTTATTATACTTATATGATCATGTTTTTCCAAACATTCATATAATCTGATGCATCACAAACCCATTATCCATGACATATTTGATGGATATACAATAGCTTTTTATGTAACATTATTTAAATATTTTTTTATAATATTATAAATGATGAGTGCTATTTTTTTATATGCATTATTTAATGCTCAAAGAGAACAACAACTATATTTTGTGCAGGAGTCGATAATATGGGATATACTCTGATCAATAATATGCTTAATTTGTCTTATGGTGGACTTGAAAAAGCTAGAAAGGTTATGTGTCTTAAAGTAGTGTTATAAGACGATGAAATTACTTTTTGTGAATAATAAGATGTAATTGGGATGATTTTAGTGTTGTTCCCTTCACGAGCACTATTAGCTCTTTTAAGAATTGGATAAGTTGAGGTTGTGTAGGCCGGTTTATAAGCTGATGTGATTTGTAGATATAATTAAATTATATGTTTTAATGTTATAAAAATTATGAATTTAGTTTAAATTTAATAAAATATTAAGTGAATTTTAATTGTGTTAATTTTTTTATGGCAGGGAATTAAGAAGTTGAAAAAACAGCTTTACTTTTTCTTTTTTTTTAAAGTGAGTCATATGTAACTTATGAGTTACAACATATATCGCTCTAAATTATTTTCTAGGCTGTATTATTTGCCATAATTTCTTAACTGTGCTATTTTTTTTAATAAAAAAACTCCTTTTTTTCTAAATCAATTTCGTCATTTGTTCTAGGTTGAGAAAAAGGCAAAAAGGACAACTACCAAATGACTCGTCGTTGTTTTTCCAAACTACTAAAACCAAACACAAGGCGAAAAAACAAAACATAAATAAAGTAAAAATCAAGTCTTGTGTTTCACCGGTAAGGTGGTTGGAGTTGTAGTCGAAGTTGAGACCTCCGCCCTCTCTTTCGATGTTTCCAAGAAATCCATTCCTCATTTCTTAACAAAACCCAACCATTTGAAACAAATCACTCTACTCCCACTTCTCTCACACACAATGGCTCTCTTTCTCCAAACCACCTTTCTTACTTCCTCCTCTTCTCTTCGCCAAAAACCCTGTCTTTCTTCCTGGGCTTCCCGCATTTCCACTTCAAGAATCCGCACCCCCGCCCGCGTTCATGCCAAGATCCGCGAAATCTTCATGCCTGCTTTGAGTTCTACTATGACAGAAGGCAAGATTGTTTCTTGGGTCAAGTCCGAAGGTGATAAGCTTTCTAAAGGTGAAAGTGTTGTTGTTGTTGAATCCGACAAGGCTGACATGGACGTTGAGACTTTCTATGATGGTTACTTGGCTGCCATCATGGTCGAGGAAGGTGGTGTTGCTGCCGTTGGATCGGCCATTGCTTTGTTAGCTGAATCCCCCGAGGAAATTGAAGAGGCTAAGTCTAAAGCTGCTTCTTCTTCGCCGGCTACATCTCCAGCCCCGGCGGCGGCGGCGGCGGCGGCTCCGGTTTCGCCGGTTTCGGAATCCACCACTGGTTCTGGGGCTGTTGAGAAGGCAGTCGTGGTGACGCCACCCTCTCCGTCGGTGGTGGCATCGGCGGTGCATCCGGCGTCCGACGGAGGGAAAAGGGTGGTGGCGTCGCCGTATGCCAAGAAGCTCGCGAAGGATTTGAAGGTGGATTTGGGGAGAGTGATAGGGAGTGGGCCTAATGGCAGAATTGTGGCCAAGGATGTTGAGGCTGCTGCTGCAGTGGCTTCTGAATTGGGTTCCCCAGCAGCGAAGGTTTCGGCGGCACCTGCCGTGCAGGCACCGCCCGGGATTGAGTTGGGATCGGTGGTGCCTTTTACGACGATGCAAGGGGCAGTATGTAGGAATATGGTGGAGAGTTTGTCAGTGCCTGCATTTAGAGTTGGGTATACTATTACTACTGATGCACTTGATGCTCTCTACAAGAAGGTAAGCATTGTTATTGAGCCTTTTTTATTCTTTTCTAATCACAATTTAGGATGTTTGAGCTGGGATTTGTTTGTTGGTGATGTAGTGATATTTGGATGTTGCTGCTGCTTAAGGGTGATAATCTATGCTATATATGAGATGATGATCTATTGTGTTTTCTATATACATTGATGAGCAGCTTAACATGGCTTTGTGTATTATACTTGAAGGTAGCATTTTTGTTTGATTTTTTATCTTGCTTTGCTTCTAGATTGGTAAATTGTTTGTGATTTTTATAGTTTAGGATCCTGAAACAGCTTACTACATTGCATTTAGTTATTTTTTTTGAGAATGATGATAGAGGAGAACATAAATCGATACCTTGTATAGAGAAAGGTTTTATAGGGATCTCCCTTCAAACATGCTGTTCAAGTAAATTCGTGTTTACTTGATGCTTTCCAGAGAAAGCTATCAACTTGGTTAAAGAATTGTGAAGTTATGAGTGTTCAATAATTTAGGTTCATTGATTATTCAGCAATTTAAGACCGGGTCTATATGGTATGTTTTGATTGTCTTGCACTGAATTCATTTGTCTGGTGATTCATCCTGACTGTCGTGCTTCCTGTTCTGTGCATTTCTAGGTCAAGTCCAAGGGAGTGACAATGACAGCATTACTTGCAAAGGCAACTGCACTGGCATTGGTTAAGCATCTTGTAATAAACTCCAGTTGCCGAGATGGTAATAGCTTTACATATAATAGTAGTGTCAACATTGCAGTTGCTGTGGCTATGGATGGTGGCTTGATTACACCAGTGCTTCAAGATGCTGATAAGGTTCTTGTTATTTTGCTTTGGGCTGTTCCATAAATATTCTGGGTGATAAATCCTTGTTCATTTTTAGTGCTTTATTTTAATTCATGTATCAGGTTGACATTTATTCCCTGTCAAGAAAATGGAAGGAGTTAGTTGATAAGGCCCGAGCCAAGCAACTGCAACCTCAAGAATACAACACGGGTACTCTAACTACTTGCTCTCAATTTGTATTTTAACTATCAGAATATATTTATCTGGAAAGCTTGGTGATTCATGTTCTGGTCATGCCATCCGAATTGCTTACAACAATTTATTTTGTTACATAATGTAAGTCAATAGCTTATCAACGTGCTGTCGATTTCCTAGGCATATGAATCTTAACTCTTTATCAGGTTGTGGACTTTAGTAAGGAATGCTTGTCTGTGGTTAAAATTAGTTCTAAATGGATTATTGTAACTTTAAAATTGATGGACTGGAATGGTAGTTTGAAGTAAAGCATCAGCAGAGCTACTTTATGTATTTAAGCAACAACTTAGTTTCATAGGATTGTATGGTAGTTTCTTCTCTGCCTTTCCCAAAGTTGGGAAGGGTTGCTTTTGCTAGGTTCACGATTCTTTTTTTGTTTAACGTGGGTGTCCGGGCCAGCTTGCGCGCACCACGACTAATTCCACGGGCCCTGAAGTTAACGACCATGTAAGCCTCCAGTGGCCATCATATGAGCAACCAAGGACTCGAACCTGAGACCACAGAGGGAGCAAACCCCTTAGTCCCAAGTCTTTACCACTTTGCTTTTGCTAGGTTCACGATTCTTGATATTGGTTATAGTTGTGGTTCTCAATTTCATGCAAGATTATGGTGGAGTGTTTTTTTTTTTAATTTTTTTTTATTATTATGTGTTTTCTGATGCTCAAAGTATTAATGTGTAATTCTGGTGCAAGATTCTTTGTTTGATGGATAGCCACAATCTTTCTATTCACAAAACCATTATTGTATATAACGCCATTACAAACTGAAAGGGTTTCTGGGTATTTTAATTCTAGGGTGACTATCCATTTCTGTCCATGTTGATAGGATTTGTTGCGATCTCTGATAATGTGGTTACAGTAATTTCTTTGATAAGCAGTTCAAAACCTTGATGTGATGAAGTTACTATGTGTTTCTCATTTGCTTTTCTCAGTGATTCATAGGCATGGCTGTTCTCTGGTTGCTGGTCTGTTTTCAATTGGATTAAACATGTTACCGTGATATTTCTCAATCTCATTTCATTGTTCTTGTGTGCTAATTTGCAGGCACTTTCACACTGTCTAACCTGGGAATGTTTGGTGTGGATCGATTTGATGCCATTCTGCCTCCTGGAACTGTAAGTGTTTTCACTTGAATATAGAAACCAACATATCCGCCGGATCCTCTACAAGAGGCCAGTACAGATAGTATGCTCGTTTTTAGTGATTGAATTGTGGTTTGGTTTTTTTGATCTGGATGGATGATGCAGGGAGCAATTATGGCCGTCGGAGCATCACAGCCAACTGTTGTAGGTACCAAGGATGGCCGGATTGGTATGAAGAACCAGATGCAGGTAACGAGCTTGCCATATTCTGATTTTCTGAAAACGCTATCTCTCTATGACAATTAGTTTAATTCATTTTTCCTGTACTGGAAATGCAATATCTACAGGTAAATGTTACAGCTGATCATCGTGTAATCTACGGTGCTGATCTGGCTGCCTTCTTGCAAACACTAGCAAAGATCATTGAGGACCCCAAAGACCTTACCTTCTAATTAAAATCCCAGCAGAAATCATTACTTCCTGAAGATTTCCTTTTACCTCTATTTAAAAGCTCATCCTTCTCTGGTAATCATTCCTTGATATCCATGGAGTTTACTCAGAAAGAGAAATGCAGGAGCTCTTATCTCTGTCCAAAGTTCTATGTAGAACAGGAGCAGAACTGGGAAGAGAAATTTTTATTTGGGTTTCAGATATCAAAACTTTTTTTGTTTATGTTAATGTTGTCATAACGGCCGGATGTTTTTGCATTTTATCAAAAAAAAAATAACGGCCGGATGTTTTTGCATTTTATCAATTTTTTTTTTCTTTTTTTGCGATTTGTTGTTGTAGTTTTAAACATCAGTCATGTGCAACAGAAATGTGGTCTTCAATGTTCTATCTTGGGTCCGTAAAGTTGAGTTGATGGATTGATGGTTTTATTTGAAGAAGATTGCTATCTGGCGATCAGGAAGAAGCAGTTAGCATCAATTCTGATGTGCATCTTTCTCCTTCCCTTGTACAGTTTCACAAGTAAACAGCACTTGCCTAGAACTGCCAGCCACCATCTCTTGTCAGGTACAGATTAGCTTGAAAACTTGCAATAGTTCAGCAACTTACATGACCAGGGCTTGTTTGGTCATTTTTTTTTTAATGAATTTTTTCTTGTTTTAAATTAATTTTTTCAGGTATTTTTTTAATTATATTAATATGCTGATATTAAAAATAAATATTTAAAAATATTATTTTGATGTATTTTTAAATAAAAAATACTTTAAAAAACAAATATTGAAATGCTAAAAGAGGAGAATCTACAGATATTGGCAGAGCCAGTGTGCAATGTATTCTCTTTATATTTAATTGATGCTCTCCTTATCGGCAATTATGAATCTCAACTTAAATAATTTAGTAATTTACTAGGTTGAATGCCATAATTGTTTTTGTTTTATATTTTATAATTGTTAAAACAAGTTAATAAAAAAATATTAAAATAATATGTTTATATTTTATGTGATTAAAAGCTAAAAATATTAAAAATACAATAAAATCATGTTTAAATTCTATTTAAAAATTTTAATAATAAAAAATTAATTTTAATTGAATTTTCATAAGCAATTTTTTTTTATTATTATTATCAAATTCGATACATAATAATTGGATTTTTTTATTAAAATTTAAATAAAAATTAGATACATAATTGTGTCGATCAACTGTTGAACCCACGACCTCTAGCTTGAATGATTGTTACGCTTAAGAAAATAAAACACGTGATCTTTAGTCTCTATATGCGCTAACCGACAAAACTAAGACATTATTTATTATCAACTAATTAGTAAAATTTCGTACGGTGTTTTACTATTTATATAAACGCTATATCACTATAAATAAATAAATAAACCCTGTTTTTTTTTTTATTAAAACAAGTTAATAAAAAAATATTAAAATAATATGTTTATATTTTATGTGATTAAAAGCTAAAAATATTAAAAATACAATAAAATCATGTTTAAATTCTATTTAAAAATTTTAATAATAAAAAATTAATTTTAATTGAATTTTCATAAGCAATTTTTTTTTATTATTATTATCAAATTCGATACATAATAATTGGATTTTTTTATTAAAATTTAAATAAAAATTAGATACATAATTGTGTCGATCAACTGTTGAACCCACGACCTCTAGCTTGAATGATTGTTACGCTTAAGAAAATAAAACACGTGATCTTTAGTCTCTATATGTGCTAACCGACAAAACTAAGACATTATTTATTATCAACTAATTAGTAAAATTTCGTACGGTGTTTTACTATTTATATAAACGCTATATCACTATAAATAAATAAATAAACCCTGTTTTTTTTTTTATTATTGTATTTTGATAAAATTTAAACAAACTTGTGGCTAGATGTTCCGTCACAATGTAAAAAAAAGGTTGATGGCCCATCACAATGTACAATATATATATATATATATATGTTAAATTAGTGTTTTTTATTATTTAAATATAAGATTTAGATAATTGAAAGAGATTGTTAACGACAAAGGTAAAAAACAATATCATAAAATAAATATTTTATATTTATATTCATTCAATCAATTTAAAATAAAAATCGTTTTAAAAAAGTTTAGTTTAACAATAACTTAAAATAAAATATCATATATTTTTTTCAAAATGAGTGGAAAACCTATAGGAAACAAAACCAAAACAAGAAAATGTTTGAGGATGAAACAAAATGAGCTAAAAAAAAAAAGCAAATCCGAATAAATTTTTTTAATTTAGATTAATCTTTAAAATTTACAATTCATTAAATTTTATATTCGGGCTCAACCTAGAAGCTCAATATTTAACTAATTCAATGTTAAAAAAAATAAATTAAATTAAATTAATTTTTTTTAAATTAAGATTTATCAAATATGAAAAAACATTTAAAGCAATACTAAATTAATTTAATATTGAATAATGAAATAATTTAATTGAATTTAATTAAAAAAACAAAACTCCTTTTAGCAACTGAAAAAAACGTGAGGCAACACTTGTTATTCTTAAAACAACTGAAAAATCCTATAAAAAACAAAAAAATTAAAGAATAAAATTGAAAAAATTAAAAAAATAAAAAGCAAACTTGGACAAACCTCCTAATCTCAAATGAATATCTTAAATTTACAACCTATTAATTTGTAAACTTGATCTCAATCAAGAAACTCAACACTTAATAAATTTAATGTTAAATGATAAAATCATTAAAAAAAATAAAAAAAAAAATTTCAATGTAAAAAACAGCAATAAAAAATTATGTTCAAATTCAATAGAAAAAACCTCATGATAAACGCTATATCACTATAAATAAATAAAAAAACCCTGTTTTTTTTTATTGTATTTTGATAAAATTTAAACAAACTTGTGGCTAGATGTTCCGTCACAATGTAAAAAAAAGGTAAAAAAAAGGTTGATGGTCCATCACAATATAAATATATATATATATATATATGTTAAATTAGTGTTTTTTATTATTTAAATATAAGATTTAGATAATTGAAAGAGATTGTTAACGACAAAGGTAAAAAACAATACCATAAAATAAATATTTTATATTTATATTCATTCAATCAATTTAAAATAAAAATCCTTTTAAAAAAGTTTAGTTTAACAATAACTTAAAATAAAATATAACCAATAGGAAACAAAAACAAAACAAGAAAATGTTTGAGAATGAAACAAAATGAGCTAAAAAAAAGCAAATCCAAATAAACTTTTTAAATCTAGATTAATCTTTAAAATTTATAATTCATTAAATTTTATATCGGGCTCAACCTAGAAGCTCAATATTTAACTAATTCAATGTTAAAATAAATACATTAAATTAAATTAATTTTTATTAAAAATGAGATTTATCAAATATGAAAAAACATTTAAAGCAATACTAAACTAATTTAATGTTGAATGATGAAATAATTTAATTTAATTTAATTTAATTAAAAAAATAAAACTCCTTTTAGCAACTGAACTCGTAGAAAGCAAAAAAAATAAAGAATAAAACTAAAAAAAATAAAAAAAATAAAAAGAAAATTTGGACAAACCTCCTAATCTCAAATGAATATCTTAAATTTACAACCTATTAATTTCTAAACTTGATCTCAATCAAGAAACTCAACACTTAATAAATTTAATGTTAAATGATGAAATCATTTAAAAAATACAAAAAATAAAAAAAAATCAATGTAAAAAACAACAATAAAAAATTATGTTCAAATTCAATAAAAAAAACCTCATGGAGGATTAAATTTAAAAAAAATTAATTTTAAAAACCATTTTAAATAAAACAAATAATAATTAAAATAATAAGGATAAAATTTAACAAATAAAAGAAATTAAAGAGGGATGAAACTAAAATTAATCTAATTTTATAAATTTTTTCAAATAAAATAAATACTAATAAAAAAACTAAATATAATAATAAAAAAAATCCTGATTGAAGGTTTGCATTGATGTTTTTTTAAGGATCAACATGCTTAACAAGGGTCAGAGAGAAAGAAAAAAAAGAGAGAGAGACTGTTGACGACGATCAACATGCTTAACAAGGGTCAGAGAGAGAGAGACTGTCGACGATGAACAAAAGGCGATGAAATCACACGTTCTTCTGAGCAGATAAGAGCCGCCGAAGAAATTCTATCACCACCTTGAAAGCCACCTTTGGCCACAGAAAGCCTCCACATGCACCGCCATAATTTTCCTGGAGCTCTCACAAGCCTCCCAAATAATCATCTAAATAATATTATATATTTGATAAAAGGCATATGAGCCCCTATCAAATCAATAATTGTTAAAAAAACTAAAATTAAAATACACAAACGTTCCTAATATCAACTTTAATTTTTGGATTCCAGGGGCAACTTCAGCCATTTACTATGTAATTAAACATGAAAAAGAAAAAAAATACCCCAAGTGAGATATATATCATTTTACTTTTAATGGTAAAAAAAATTATTATCCTTTAAAAAAAAATTGTATACATCAATCTATTCCCATTTAATTCAGCAGTGCCAAGTAAATCTCAAAAAAAAAAAAAAAAAAACCCTTCGAAGCAAGGTTTGCCAGTTGTGTTAAGAAGGACAAAGACATTAAAATACCGTTAAAATTCACATTGTTTTGAGTTTATGCACACAGTAAATAGCTGATACTTTTAGCTTTTTTAATTAATAGGAGTTCTACTCGCTAACGAGCAAAGCTGATAGCAAGGTAAAAATAACTTCGGAAGAACGCCTGAAACCTCTCGTTGGATCCATGAGAGCTTGACAATAGGCGAGCTATCAAATGATGGCAAAAACAGAGAGGTGGATTAATACATTCCCAAAAATTCTCTTCCATGTATTATGTATACATAGGAACTGCAGATTATACAAGCCAGTTCGGTTGCAACAGCTGCCTCATTTTGTGCAGCAAGAAACCTTTCTTCTATCTACAGTTTTGAACCAAAGACTTGAAAAGTGAAGTCTTTCGAATAAATAGAACTGCTTCTTCTAGGAGGATTGTATTCTGAGCTAGTCCTCATCGTGCATTGAGGATCATCCTTAACACACTCTTCATCTTTGGCCTTGCTTCTGTGGAAACACTCACGCAACTAAGGGCAATCTTAAGGACTGCAAGCATCTGGCCTCTGACAGCAGGTGAAGTCCTGCTGATGTTAAAATCAAGGATGTGATCCAACTTGTCTTGCTGTTTT